AAAAAAAAAATCAGTATTCTCCAAGCTTTGTTCTGCAGAATAACTACCAATAGCCCTTAAAGTTGAAAGAGTTAAAAATACCACTCTTGTATAGTTAAAGACATTTGAAAAACATAGCTACAAAAAGGTCACTCTGACTTTTGTAGTGTTTTTGAAATGCAAGAGATAAAATTCCTGTGTGAAATATGCAACTATTCTTATCACAGAAAAGAAGTCAAGGCCCAATTCTGTCGTGTTAAATTAGCTCTTTGAAGCCTCCTAACATAATTTGCTTTTTCACAGCTTTACTATTCTTTGTCTAATTCAGTATATGAGTTACTGACTCCAACTGCTTTTTGGGGGTTCTCATTTCCTTATGAGGGCTCTCGTGCCACATACAACTTATATTCAATAAGTTTATATACTTTTTCTCCTGTTAACCTGTCTTCTGTCCATTTAATTCTCAGGCCCAGCTAGTACTTCAAGTGGATGGAGAATTTTGTTTTCTATAAAATGTTACCAGAAGGGGAAAAACAAAGATTTTTGACTATAGGACTTCTCAGAGTCTTTCATGGGTCCTAAGTCTAACCACCTCCTCCTCAATGTTGTCACCACTGTCACATCCCAGTCCAAACCAGCATCATCTGCTCATCTCTAGGGTTCTTCTCTTGCCCCCTCTTCTGTCCTCAAAACAGAATGGGTGAGCCTTTAAGACACAGTGATGCTTTAACACAGGAGAGAGTTCATGCCACTGCTTGGCAAGGCCCCCAGTATCTTCCCATCTTGTTCAAAGTAAAATATTTATTCCCTTCAATTGTCTGACATGTGACCCTCCTCCAACCCCAGGTTCTTTTCTGTCCCCTTCCCATTACCTTTGCTCATCTAGCCTCCTTGGTCTTTCTCAAACAAATCCAGCAGGCCGTGGCCCCAGGGCCTTTGCACGCCTCATATGCTCTTCGTCTCCCTTTATTCAGCTCTCAGCAAAAATGTCTCCTGACCTCTGAGTATAGAGAAAAAGTATCTGAAACAAACCCTTTCTCTCCATCTGCTTACCCTTATTTTTTTCATCACCCTTACTCAGTACATGATAAAATCTGTCTGCCTCCACCATTACCGTGGAAGCCCCACGAGGGGATGGATGGACTTGGCTCATCTTGTTCATTGCTGTAGTTGACCCAAAATAGGTGACTGAGACAAAGATCTCAATCAGTGGAGGTTTATCAGGCCCAAACTGAGGGTGCACCTGGGACAAATACAAATCACAGACAAACCCCTGGCTGCTTCTCCAAAAGGGAATGTGGAAGTTTCAGTATTTAAGGAGGAGTAGGGCATACAGAAAGGAAAAGAAAAAAGTGGGGCTTGGGGATTGTAGGATAAAATGGTTACATTGTTGTGCCATCTAGAAAAATATCCATTTTACAAAAGATGAGGTGAATGTTAGAAGAAAATAAGCAGAGAGGCACAAAGGAAGCACCAGTTATGCAGATGTCCCTGGGTGGGTGGAAGAATGTTTGATCCTGCTTTGTATCTGTTCTACACCTGTGAAGACAAACTTGGAATTCACTATTAGGGTGGAATTGGATGGACTTTGAGTTTAGGAGCTAGACGTGGCCTGCGGACCTAAAGTTATAATTTTCATGTCCTGTCACACAGGACACCAGCAAGGAACGTCCTTAATGAATGACCCCTGGGGCCAGTTATTCCCAGATGCCTAAGGCCTCTACCTTCCCTTTTATATAAGAAGTTGAGGATCGGGGTGGTCCTGAAATTTTTATTTTCTTTTACACTGTATTCCAGGTTCTCCAGAATATTGCTTAGCACCTTATGGATGTTTTGGATTTTGTTGGGGGTGGGGGGAGGTTGTTGTTTTCTAACTTCCCAAGTCTAGCAAGAAGCACCTTACAGATATTTAATAATTTATTGAATGATTGACAGTAAATACACTAATGTCAGTTGTGAATCTTAAAGAGATATTACAGCACGCGGACAGCTTTTTCAAAGCTGTTTGAGCACTGACTCTTTTGACAGAAATCCCTATTAATATCTCACAGGACATAGACGTTTCAGAGCAATTTGGGAATCACTGCCTTAATTATTCCTCATTTGGTAAAAGTCACGTTCAGCGTTTTCCTTTACCTATCTTCATCTGTTAGTTCAAGACCCTGTGTCATCCCATCCACCCATTCCCTTTAGTACAACCGAAAGTCACACCACAGGTAATACCAGTTGCATCTGTGCCTACCCGCCAGCCTCCCCCTGTGACAGCAGAGCGCAACAGGACTGCAGCTGTCACACATGCTGGAGAATCTGCAGCAGAAATAACTTCAAGCCCAAAGGAGGCCTCACATCAGACTGTCTTCACCACTCATCTGCAAACGTCCTTTCAGAATGCATCCACTCAGGTAAACATGGAAAATTGAAGGCACCCCTGGGTAGCCCTGGGACACTGAAAAAGCACATCTATTTTTAGCTTCTGTCATGGTGATGTTTCAAAAATGATGGCAGTAAGAAGAGCCTGGCTTATACTTCTGCCTCCTCGCAGAGCTATACCTAGGAATGCCTGACCGAGCAGCATACACCCCAGTGAAAAGCAAAACCAAAACAAGGTCATGAAAATATTCCAGAGTGAGCTTATGCCCATGTCCGTACTTAATGACTCACCTTTTAATGCTATTACGTGTAACACTTAAGCTGGGGAGCAGCTGTGTTCACCTGCCAGGCTCTGTCAGCAGCCGCAGCAGCTCCATCTACACAAAAACTCCACTCCCCATCCATCTTCTTTCACCTTGTTTCCTCTCCCGCAAACACAAAAAAGGGCAAAGCCATTTTGACAATGTTGACTAAAGAAGATATCCTGCTCCCCCCTCCTTTTTTTTTTTTTTTAAGTAACACAAGCACTATTTGTATGCAATCTAATACGCCCTGGCTGAAACATAATCCTATTTACTCTGAATCTGTTTTCAGTGGTTATGGAAACTAGATGGTCGCTATGATCTCGGCCGTCTATGGGGGGTGGGGGGTGCGAGTGACGTACAGTAGTTTAAACAAAGTGTTATTTTTTTCTTAAGTAAAGAGAAATTTGAAGCATAGAATATCCAAAACAAGTATAGAGGAAAATTATTAGGAATATTAAGAGAATTTAGCAATGTTGCTTAAGTATCAGCTCAGCATACGAAAGCTAAATTGTATTTTTATATATCAACAATCAGGTAGCAAAGTAGATTTTTTAAAAAGATAACATTGCAACTGCCTAGGAATAAATTTAACCAAAACTGGGTAAAAGTTCTCTGGAGATGACTATATAACTTTATTATGAGACTTTTTTTTTTTTTTTTGAGACAGAGTCTTACTATGTCACCCTTGGTAGAGAGCTGTGGCATCACAGCTCACAGCAACCTCTAGTTCTTGGGCGTAAGCGATTCTCTTGCCTTAGCCTCCCAAGTAGCTGGGACTACAGGTGCCCACCATAACACCAAACTATTTTTGTTGTTTTTGTTATTGTTATGGTTTAGCAGGCCCCAGACTGGGATTGAACCCTCCAGCCTCAGTATATGTGGCTAGCGCCCTACTCACTGAGCTATGGGTGCCAAGCTCATAAAAGACTTTGGGGGGGGAGGCACAGAGTCTCATTTTGTCACCCTCAGTAGAATGCTGTAGCATCACAGTTCACAGCAACCTCCAGCTCTTGGGCTTAGGCGATTCTCTTGCCTCAGTCTCCCAAGTAGCTGGGACTATAGGCATAAGAGACATTTTTAAAAGATAAGATAAATTATGGAATATTCCGTGACTCAGCCTGGATTCTGTTCTGAAATGTCAAATAAGGTACCCTTGGTGACTGGCGTCAAATAAGACCTGGCCTCTATTGGCAAATGTGTATTTGGGTGGCAACTGCATATCTTACCTGTCTCTTCCTGCCTGCTTCATTACCACACTGCAGTCCCAAAGTACAAAATTAAAATTGGGTGCTCCTCAATTCTAAGATCACTTTGCAAATTACCTAACTTCCCACAACTCTCTGAGTGAGAAATAACCCTATCCAACTGTGTGGTTCCCAAGGCCAGGGATGACTGAGCGAGGTAGCTCAGGCC